AATTAAGGAAAGACAATGAGTATCTCTCAATAAACCCTTAGAAATCTTCCTTGAAGTAGAGTTGGGGGTTTGTTTTACCCCATCAGAAAAGTAATGAGAGACTACCATTATTAGGGATTTGTTTCTCTGACTCTAATGCTAGACTTGGATACAAGACAAAATCCTTCCCTTCTGAAGTCTGATTGGAGTAAAGAGAAATAGGATGGACCACTGGTGAGTGTACAAGTAATCTAGAGAGCAATATAGCAACATTTAAAAATATCTGATAAAGCTAAGAGTGATCCTATATAATAACCCTACAATTGCACTATTGACACTCAATCTATAAAATAGAAATAACATTCACTGCCACACTGTTTTATTAAATTTGCAAGAAGATTATTGATAGTAAATTATCTTTAAAATATAATACATTCATGCAAGAGAATCACATACAATGATGGAAAATGAATGGAGTCGATCTCCAACTACTCAATAAATGGAACACATATAGGACTCTGAATAAAATATAAAGTATGATAAGAGTGAGACAAAGACTTCTATACAAAGTACTCCAACACAAACACAGATTTAAAACTATGAAAACAAATTTTTATTCTAATTAGAGGTAGAAGCAGTGGTATACAAGGTATAGATTATGAAGCTGTGGTCAAAACACATTAGGTAATGTACTTAATGGGCAAGCATGGGTACCTGGGTTCCATCCCCAAAGCCCACACAATAAAAAAGTCCAGCATGGTAGTATAAGTTTATAATCACAGCATAGTGCAGGCTATCCTAGTCTGGCCTAGAGTTCCAGGCCAATGAGAGAACTTGGCTCACACTACAAAAAAATTCAAAGGTATACAGCAGCTGGTGACCAAGACCTGAGGTTGACCTTTTGCCTGCTCACCTATACATGCACAAATGCATGCACACACACACACAAACATATGCATCCTCCAAGTGTGCAAATGTACACACATACGCATAAAGTATAAATTATAACTATACATTCCAATAGAATTGCTACCTCGAAGGGAAAAGACAATGACATGAGGGTAGACTTAAGGATTCTGTGGTAGCTGAAATAATGTATGTCTTAATCCGTGCTCATGGCTATTGCATTATTTGTGATAGCTTTGAAGTTTTACAAAATTTCAGAATTAACAGGCAACACTTGTATGATCTTTATGATTACTTTGTGATTACTTTAAAGCAATCTATATAAACTTTAGAAACAATAAAAAGAAGAGACATACAAAAACATATTTGGAATTTCACCAGGTACCAAGATAAACCCCCATCTTTAGGGAGGAATGCATGGCACATAGATACAACATGTGTACACTGCTTTCTGAGGCAGTGAGCAGCTCCCAGAAAGTGCAGTTACTGCTTTTGAAGGTAAACTCATAAATAATATTAGAGTTACTATAAATAAAATCTAGGTTATATTTTATCTTTTCAACACAGTACCTGTACCTTACAAGAAATGCCCTCAAAAGCCTTGAAAACTCTTTCCAAGTAATTAAATCTAAAATTATTCTAAAGCTGTCCCACAGTGCCCTGAAGCATCCACAACTCGTGTTGCTCTAATCTCCTGGGCACTTCCCTAGAGTATTGCTCAATTTCCATTATGATGAACTATATATTTAAATAAAACAATTACAGCAGTCTAAAAACACATTCTCAACTGGGTGTGGTGTCATTGCCTGAAATTCCCTCACATGGGAAGCTAAAAGAAGAAGACTGTCAAGTTCTAGCTCAGCATGGACTATGTGATGAGAGTTTACAAAAACACACAAGGATAAAACCTCCAAACTCAGCCGGGCGTTGGTGGCGCATGCCTTTAATCCCAGCACTTGGGAGGCAGAGGCAGGCGGATCACTGTGAGTTCAAGGCCAGCCTGATCTACAAGAGCTAGTTCCAGAACAGCCTCCAAAGCCACAGAGAAACCCTGTCTCGAAAAACCAAAAAAAAAAACCTCCAACTCATAATAAATGCAAAGTCAATAGTAGTGTGATAAGTCTGACTATGTTGTTTGAAAATTACAGTTACTATATTAGTATAACATGTTTCAAATATGAAACACATTTATTAACAACAAATGGACAAAAGAGAATTCACTTAAAACTATGCATGCACCAAAAAGAAGTCTTAGCATATTAAGTTCACAAAAAGTAATGAAGTATAAGTAATAATTTGATAAATCATATTAAACAATAAGGCAACATAAAGATAAATATTTATAATTGATTATAAGTTTGAATATGAATATGTGGATATAAATTTGTTAATATACAAATACAAGTTACTTTTCCATCCAAAGACCAATCAATTTGAGTAATATGTACCAATCTACTCACAGAGGCCTCATTTCAGACAAACATCAACAGAGGAGGTGATACAAAATTATTTCACTTTATAGGTATATATTTGTGTGAGAGGCCCTGCTGCTCTTGACATGGGCAAAATCCAGGAATGAAATCTTTAATTTGGGTTTTGTACAGAGATCCAGCAATCTGAGAAGCAGTATAAAGATCTACCCTCCATCTTATCTTCAACCAGCAGACTATAGAGTCAATCATTCCAAAGCTTAGACTTGCCCCTCTAATCTGGAGGTCAGTCTTATCTCTGAGATTTTTGGTGTTGGTGCTTTTCTCCTCTTCTCTGTTCTAGATGAGGGAAGGAGGTAAGGGGTGGGAGTTTCACAATCACTAAAGTCACTGAGCATTCCCCCCAAGCCAGCTGTTTGGGTGATTTCCAGGTTGAAGGTTAACTCAAAGCAAACAAACCATTTTCAGTGTGTGCGTGTGGATCCCTTCCTATAGAACAAATACAAATGTGTTCTTATAAATACAGAATTTGCAGTGCCCCTATCATTGTGTCCCTGTGACTTGTTATAGCATGACCTTTCCCCCTTGTGTGTAATGTAGTCACCTCATCATCATCTTGAAATTACCCTGTGATAATGGTAATCGATACTTGTAGAAGGAGGAGGGGAGTGTCATGGGACTCTTACCTGGGATTCCAGCTGTTACTGACTTCTACCATCCCCCCTGCTGCAAGTGATATGAAGATATGCTAGAGTATATAGGAAGTAGAAGATTAACTAAAGGACAGATTCCATGATGCAGCTTCCATGAGGATAGGGCTTTATGGTGATGCTATTCTTATGGGGTCACCCATACACCTAAAAGTAATGTTTATCCCTCCTCTGCAGATATGTCCAATAAACACCTTTTGTCAATGTGGGTGGAATCATATTTTGGTCTGTTGTTAGCTCCCTATCTGGAGTGACTAAACAGTTGTATGCTTTTCCCCAAGAAAAGTTAACACAATAGTATCCTATTATTCTTTACAATGTAGTATATTTGGGAAGCTATGAATAAAATAATCTGGAGAGAAGAAACTTACTATTGGATTGGCACAAATGTTTATGTGTAGTTAGACACTAGTTTGATGCATTTAGGGCATTTTACTTGTTACTGTTGTAACAGGAGAAAGAGACAAATACATAACTAAGCTCAGATTTTAAATAGAGGATAATTATGGATTTTTTGACAAAGAGCGAAGTTGGAGATTAGAGGGATTCTTGCTAAACTGACTTCACAGAGTTTCTGTTAAAATTAAGACAATGTGATAAGGAATCATGGGTGATGACAGAGAAAATGAATCACACATTAAAAATGACCAGACTATGGAGAGCTGGAATAAGCAAAGTTCTGCACTAAAACTTACTCTGGAAGGACACAAAATGACACATAGTTAAAGACTAAAAGGTTCAGAAGAATCAGTGTAAATTTGGTTGGGGGGAATTTTTGTCACATATATATATGTGTGTGTGTGTGTGTGTGTGTGTGTGTCTGTATGTCTATATTTACTGATTTTAAAATAGATACAAAGTAAAACCTTTTTTGAGTAAAAAGGTTAAAACAATTGCGTTTGACATAGTAGGTGCATGTGTGTACTTGTGTATACATACATGTGTGTGCATCTATGGCTGAAAATAACAAAACTGTGTATTCTGGGAATGCTCTCTCATCTTGGACACATGGGGGAGGGCCTAGGCCCTGCCCTGGATGAAATGAGAGACTCTGGAGATCCCCCATGGAGGGCCTCAACCTCTCTGAGGAGCAAAGTGGGGATTGGGTGGGGGGTTGAGAGGGTTGGAGTGGGGGGAGGAGAGGAGGGAGAGAGAACTGGGATTGACACATGAAACAAACTTGTTTCTATTTTAAATTAAAAAAACTGTGTATTCTGTGTTCTTGGATTTGAACTCTATCTCCATAGACACACATTCATGGGTGTGGTTTTCTGTCTGTTAGTCAGAACTCAGTCTTGGAGTTTAGAGATGTAAGAAAGTGATGGGAATAGGATTGCTTCTTCTGGGTGGAAAATTCATAGACACATCACAGATATTAGAGTCCTTATCTCTTCCCTGTCACTCCTACAGAGTGTCCAAATGAGACACTCTGGATGTGACCAACAAAAGATCATATACATTTTTGTTTTGGTTCTTTATTTAAAATTAAAATTCTTAGGTTTTGAAATTAGGTTTCACAGTAATCCCTAGACTAACTCACAAAATAATTAAAGGAGTATATACAGCCAATCCTGCTTCAAAAGTTTCCATGTATATTAAAAGTATAAACATTAGCTCCTGTTGCTATTGGAATCATATATTTTATTCATTGACCATCTGCTTTCCCGTTCTGTTCCTCATAATATTAGTTAATATGGCCACATTGCAGCAATGGTCCTTTCTAGGAAGAATTCTATTAGCGTACCAAGATCACATCCTTGTCAATGCTACCCACTGATACTCCCCACCCCCTCTCTGATATCTGGTCTCAAGGATGCTCTAGACAAAGCTGCCCAGACCAGTTTCCCTGCATCATTATCTGAGCACAGAGGCAGGCTGTTGCATAGCAACAGAGGCTCAGAGTCAAATATAGACCCTGGAAGGAAAAGTGGCCCCATGTAATGTCAATGCTATTAGAAAAGTGAGCAAAGCATACCTTCAAAACAGCCTCAAATGCAGCTCACATCCTCTTCGTACCAAAGCCCCTCACTCCATGTTCCCATTCCAGTATGCTCAGCCATTTCTGTTCTTGGTGAAGTGTTCCATTTTTTTATCCTTCCGCTTTCCAAAATCCTAAGAATCTCAGTCACAGAATGGGTTAAATTTGAATAAAACTTGCATTCATTACAAGTACAGTGATATTCCACTTTCATGTGCTACCCTGTAAAGGACTGGTCTTAATCCCATTCTTTTAGGGTTTTTGTTTTGTTTTGTTTTTCGAGACAGGGTTTATCTGTGTATCTTTGGAGCCTGCCCTGGAACTAGCTCTTATAGACCAGGTTGGTCTTGAACTCACAGAGATCTGCCTGCCTGGCCTGCCAAGTGCTGGGATTAAATGCATGTGCCACCACTGCCCAGCAATCTCATTCTTTTTTTAATGATCATAAATCTGTGTCTCTGTAGAAATTGTTTGTTGATCTCTTCAGGTGTGCTTAACAAACCATCAATATATAAGATGCAGTTATAAAATGGTTTTCCCTGGTTGTTACACAAATCTCAAAGTCTGCACTCTTGCTTTCTATTTTTTGAAATTTTATATGTTTTTATTTTTAATGAATAAATGTTTTGCCTTCATGTATGTCTGCTTGCCACATGTGTTCTCGATCCCCATGGAAGTCAGAAGCGGGAATCAGATCCTCTGGAACATGAGTTGCGGGCAGCTGTGAGTCACTGTGTGGATGCTGGGAATTGAACCCAGGTCCTCTACAAAAGCAGCCAGTGCTCTTAAGCACTAAACAACTTCGCCATCCCACAGTGCTTTTGCTCTCAATTCCAATATATTTATTAATATTGTATCTCCTAAACTATGCATGTCATAATATAAAATAATGATAAATAGCAGAAGCAAAGGCAAAGTTAAAAGACTTTTATAATAAATACAAGGCTATTTGTTGATCAGTAAACACCAAAGTTTTCGCCTGACTTAAGCTCACCTAAATTCAGTACTCAGATATGAACCATTTTCATCACATTCATTAGCCTAAATAGATGTTAAGAACAAAGCAGGTGATAAAGAACATTGGCCCAAAGTAGTTCAGTATCTACAACTTTCCTCTCACTTGTCTCAAGGATCAGCCACTTCATGAGGTCCTAAGGGGTCCTATATTCAAGCCTCCTGACAAAAGGGTAGATTTTCTCTCCTGCACCATGCTCATCTCTGAAAGGGTCTGTAGATGAGGACTTCTGCAGCCACATTAGTAGGGTAGTGCCATCTGCCTGTGCCTTGGGCCTGGACGCCAATCTGCTATCATGAAGATGGTAATGATATATTATTTATGATTTAGTAAAGCTTGCCTGAAGATTCAGAAAGCAAAGTCAGCCATAAGTCATAGAAGCCAGGCACACACCTTTAATTCCAGCAGCCAGAATCTAGGAGGTGGTGGTGCACACCTTTTGTTGTCCATTTACTTCTGGGTGAGGGACCAGACACTGGGGTATGTTCAAAGTATTAGTGGCCTCATCTTCAAAGAAAACTGACCCTCATTGCCCCAGACACCATCAACTGTCCATACTTTCTCAGTTAGGGGTGTGAATTCTTGGTTCCCTACCTCCCCTATGCTGGAATAATGACTGACTTGATATTTTGTGAAATTAGTGAATTACAATTCTAGAAATCTTCAGGGAGTACAGAAATCATGAGGCTAAATGCCCTTGGGAAATTTCATAATGGGTGGGACAGCCTTCAGACAACAACTGCAACTAGTCATTCGTCTTAAAAACACAGGAAAAGAGCTAGTCAAGCACACTGGACTTCTAGGACAACCACAAGTAGCACAGGTTAGCTGTCACTAGGCTAGAATTTGTACAAAAGTCCTAGGACATTTCTTTGTGTTTCTGAATCCTGACAATACTCATTGTCCTTCACTGTAAAACCCAACAAAATTCTTGGTGGTGAGGGCCTACTGTGATATCAAAAGGGGTGGAGGCAGAGTTCTGTCAGTCATCTGCTTCTCTGCATAGCTTCTCTAATAAGCACGCTTTCCAAAGTTCCCTGAAGGGGAATATGTTCTTTCCAGGACCGGTAAAGGCAGAGAAAGGAGAATTGTACAGAGACATTTCCAGTCTGTGGAACAGCCTGGACGTCACAGTTCCCATAGAAACGTGATGTGATTATGGTGCCTTTGAAGACTTTTTTAATGGCAGCTTCCATGGCCAGAATAGTGGAGCAAGTTCCTCCTGCAGGTATTTGGACAGAATTTTTACTTTGTAAACATAATTATATAAGAATAGAAATGTGTCAGGTGTGATGGTTTATTCTTATAATTCTAGAATGCGAGAAGATCAGGATTTCAAGGCAGTTGTTGGTTATATAGTGAGTTTGAGACCAGCCTGTGCTGCATGAGACAATGCCTGAAGAATGAAAACTCAACCAAAAGAGTACAAATAAGATAATACCTCACTTACTGCCTTAAAAACTTATTTTATGACAATAACCACATCTTGAATGTTTATTCATGCCAACCATAAAGTCCACACAATAATAAATTGTAACAAAAATGGTCGGATCTTTGTGAGTTCGAGGCCAGCCTGGTCTACAGAGCGAGTTCCAGGACAGCCTCCAAAGCCACAGAGAAACCCTGTCTCAAAAAACCAAAAGAAAATGGTAAGAGTCAAGTAACATGTGCTAATAATGACAAAAATGTTAATGCTTGAACTGAAAGCATAGTTCAATGGTAGAATTTTTGCCTAGCATGCAAGATGCCTTGAATTGGATCTCCAGTATCTGTGAATGCAAACTATTTGAAAATGAAGTCTATGCATGATTTAAGACCTTCACATGAGAAGGCAGATTTAGTGTAAGCTTTAAATCCAACAATTCTTGTTCTTGTAACAAACTGTATGGAAGAGGGTCATGTAAAGGAGACAGACTGGATTTATGGTGCCACAAAGCCCAAAAGCTAGGAAAGAAAAGGAAATGAATGGACCTACTAACAATGTCTCAAACGGCATTGACTGTGAAGAAATATCAGTCTGTAGTCACTTTAATTATTACACAAAGTAACATCCACCACATTAAAAACAAATTTTAAAATTAGCAAAGGTCTATTGAGGTGGCTCAGTGGATAAGGGCACTTACAATCTACATTCAACCCCAGGAAAGCCCACACATTGTAAAGAGAGAACAGACCCTGAAAAACTGTCATTTGATCTCCACATGTACACCCTACATGCATATGCACACACACAAACACACACAAATAAATAAATAAGTAAATAAGTAAATGCAATGTGAAATTAAAACTTGTAAAAATTCTGATCTACCATATCATTTGCTGTTGGTTAGCAATGCAAATTAAATCCTGTTGCACAAGGTAATTACATGTTCTATTTTAACTACACCCTCAGGTCCTTATCATTTTAAAGTAGTAGATCATATAGTGCTAAGAGCATATTTCCAAGATGGCCAACGTTGCTCACCCTCATTGTACAGCAGAGAGGAAACAGGGAGGGGCAGTAAGGATAAGGATGGTGCTCAAGGCTGCAGAGTTATGGAATAGGACAGCTTGCATTTACACCCAGAACATCGTGCTCCAGAGTCTGAGGAATTGTCAAAGACTCATTGCTAAAGAAGAGAAATGGTCTGTACAATTGAGAACATATTAGAACACCATTAAAATACATTCAGTGTGTTAATATTTATATAAACAACTAACTGTACCATGTGCTAGAAAAAAAGTTTGTGACCTTGGAGAGAGAATGGTTGCTTCAGGAAAGACAGAGAGAGAGAGACAGAGAGACAGAGAGGCAGAGAGCTCATCTCAGACAGAAAACCCACATACTCATCCCTCTTCTCTTGTACTTACTAAAGAATTAATGGGTCAACTCTCTAATAGGACAGTGAAGGTCTTGTGTTCAAGAAATATTTAGTTGTTGAGAAATGAAAAACCAAACTATTAGTCTTGAATTTTTGTCCCTGCACAATCAGGGCACGGGTGAAATTCTAGTGTGGTGAGATGTGTCTGGATAGATCTAAGGACTGGTCCTTGGGCAGGTCCAGCATTTTCCTACATAGATATTAACCAACATGTCAAACAGTTCAGGGGCAGCCACTGGGCCCACCCAGAACCAGTGAGCTCCACAGATCAAGGTATTGGGTGGGTCTGTTTTCCCAGGTAAGGACCTAGATTTGGGTTTGCTTAGAGGTGTGATGTGAAACATCTCTTATCACATCATGAAAGACCCAAGAATAGAAAGCTTCATTACTATAGATGCTAGGCAATGAACAGTGGAATTATTCTCACAGTGCCTGCCTTAGATCTAAAACTTAGCCAGACCTCTGCCCCAACATTTAAAGTCATTAACAAATGTCCCACTTTATGCATGAGCACTGGACATGTTTCCTCAGTTCACACTCAGGCATCTTTGTAAGAAAAGCCTGGCCTGTCCTTTTTCACAGATGAACAAGCTCAGGCTCTTCTCCAGATGTCCAGCATGGTTGGACAGAGTCCATTCCTTAACCCCCTTAGGGGACTCCGAGCATTCCCAGGTGCACTTTCATCTCAGTACATGTGGGAGGAAGGAAGCAATCTCTGTTTCGGATGTTCCTGTGATAGTTTCAGTAGGATCCCTTCCATTAGTTTACCAAGTCCATAAAATTCTAAGCCTATGCCCCTCCTTTTTCTCTGTGCCCTGATGAGACACTCAAAGTCACAAACCTTCCTCCAGACTCCCAAGATGGTATGCATATCCATTGTTTTTGTTTATTCTGTTGTTGTTGTTTTGAGTCATAGTTTCTTTGTGTAGTCCTGGTTGTCCTGAAACTCACTCTGTAGACTAGGCTGACCTCAAACTTACAGAGCTCCTCTTGCCTCTGCCTCCCAAGTGCTGGGATTAAGGACATGTGCCACCACCACCTGTCTTTCCATTGTTCTTTATAGTTCCTTTGCATTTTGTTTTGTTTTGGGTTTCGAACAAGGTCTCACTATACCCTGTGTTAGCTTTGAAGTTGATAGTCTCCTGCCTCAACCTCTGAAAGGCTAGAACTGCAGGAGCTACTAGCATTCCTAGCTTCTTTTTCTCTTTTATTTTTGTGTGACTATAAGATTGTGTATGTATATACATGCGTGTGCAGGGGCGTGAGGACAGCAGAATTTGATATTTCATGTCTTCCTGTATCAGTCTCTGCTTGTGTATGTTATATGTGTGTACATGTTCATGTATGTTGTGTTACATGAGAACTCACATGTGCACAAAGGTCAAAGGTTGATGTTGATTTTATTCTTCTATTACTTTCCACGACATATTTTGAGACAAGGTCTCATACTGAAACTGGAGCTCACAAATTTGGCTAGACCAGCTTGCCACGAATAATCAGGGATCCACCTGTCTTCTCAAACTGTTGATATGGCCAGCTTTTTCACAGTTTCATAGATTTGAATTCAGGTCCTTATGCTTGCTCCACAAGCACTTTACTGATGAGCCATCTTCTCAGGCCCCTTTCTCCTTCTCCTCCTCCTGCTTCTCCTTTTTCTATTTCCCTCCTCCTCTTCCTATGTTTTTAATGTACTGTAATACTAAACATTTAGTTCCTGGGGCTGGAATTATGGCTCAGTTAAAAGTACTTACTGCTCGATTTGCCGTCTGTCTCTCCTCAGGGCTCACCTTCCCGAAGCGCAGCCAGACCTGCATAGTGCACTACACGGGAATGCTTGAAAATGGAGAGAAATTTGATTCCTCTCGAGACAGAAACAAGTCTTTTAAGTTTATGTTAGGGAAGCAGGAGGTGATCCGAGGCTGGGAAGAAGGCAATGCCCAGATGAGTGTGGGTCAGACAGCCAAACTGACAATCTCGCCAGACTATGCCTCTGGAGCCACTGGGCACCCAGGCATCATCCCACCACATGCCACTCTGGGCTTTGATGTGGAGCTTCTAAAACTGGAATGACAAAAGTGGCCTCCTCCCTTAGCTCCTTGCACATGGATCTGCCATGGAGGGATCTGGGACCTCCAGACGGGTGCACATGAATCCATGTGGATCTTTTCCTGATGTCCCACCACTCTTTGTATAGACACCTACCCGACTGAATGTGTTCTGTCACTCAGCTTTGCTTCGGACACCTCCATGTCCTTGTCCCCTTCTGTATGTGTGTTGACCTAAACTATGCCATAAACCTCAAGTTATTTTGTTTTGGGGTGAAGATTCAGTTTCAGTCTTTCAGGTCTAGGTTTCCAATGAAGTATATTGTCAAGTATTAACAGCACAAGCGGTGGGTTAACTTTAGAATAGGAATTGGTGTTGGGGTGGGATTTGCAAGAATTTTTATTTTAACTTTTTGGATGAAAAATTATCTATTATATATTAAGGCATTCTTGCTGCTGTGCTGCAAAGCCATAGCAGATTGGAGATGCTGTTGAGGGCTGGATTTTTCCAGTGAGGGAGGTCCTGTTAAACTGAAAGCCCTACCCAAACTGAAGTCAGAAGGAAGGAGCAAGCCTTTGCTTCTGACAGTCCTCCCACCTTCTGAAGCCGTCTGCCTTTTAAAGCAGGTCCCTTTACTGCTGTGTTGGACACTACAGAACCTGTCCCTGGTCAGCAGGGACCTCTGAAGCCTTCTTTGTGACCTGGCTTAATTTGTTTTTCATCCTATGATTTTTCTAATGAATTTTCAGAACTTTTGTAATCTTGTAACTATCCAAGCTCCACTTCCTAAATTTTAAGAACTTTAATGGAAAGTTTAGCTATTTGTATACTCACCACCCAATGGATGCCTAGTCATCACTATAGATGCTTGAGTGTTCTCTAAGAAAATGATGCTGCTCATCACAGCTTCAGCATCTCCTGGGGTTTGATGCTTGGCTCTCTCTGCTAATCTCAGCTTCCTTCCTTTTCCCCCCTCCTTCAATTCCTTCTCACCCCCTGCTGTCCTGTGTAGTGATTTGGTGAGAGAAAGTATGCTTTTGTCCCCTGCCCTCTGCACCACATATGCGTTTCAAGTTTTATTATTGTAATAAAAGTGCTTTATGCTTGCTTCTCTAAAAAAAAAAGTACTTACTGCTCTTGCCGAGCACCAAAGATTGGTTCTTAGCACCCATATAGTGGTTCACAGCTGTCTATTACTCCAGTTTCAAGGGACCCAACGCACTCTTCAAACCTCCAAGGATACCAGATACACATGTGACGCACATGTACACATGCAAGCAAAACTTATCTACAAGCATAAACGTATATGCAAGCAAAATCAACTGTATACACAAAATTTTAACATAAATTTTAAAATATTGTTCATGTTTAACATTATGAACTGAAGTTCAGTAAAACTTCCCATATATACACATATATTAATAATTGTTTTGCAATATTTTTTCAGAAATGTTCTTTCAAAACCTTGAAATATTCTATGCATTCAGAGTATTAACACGAGTGTGTTTTGTTAGCAATGTTATTTGAAAGTATCTATGCATTAGAAATAATGTGAACCAAGGGCTGATCTCCAAAATATATAGTGAACACAAGAAAGTAGAGATCAAAATACCAAATAATTCAATTAAAAATGGCATACTGATCTAAACAGAAAATTCTCAACACTAGATTCTCAAATGGCCAAGATACATTTTAAAAAGTATTCAACATCCTTAGCCATCAGGGAAATGCAGATCAAAACAACTCTGAGATACCATCTTACAACTGTCAGAGTAGCTAAGATCAAAAACACTAATGACAGCTTATGCTGGAGTGGGTGTGGAATAAGGAGAACATGCCTCTACTACTGGTGAGAGTTCAAACATGTATGGTGGTTTCTCAGAAAATTAGGAAATGTTCTTCCTCAAGGGCCAGCTATATCACTCTTGGGCATATACCCAAAGGAAGCTCAATCATAACACAAGGAAACTTGCACAACTATATACCTAGCAGCATTATTCATAATAGCCAGAATCTAAATGTCCCTCAACCAAAGAATGAATAAAGAAAATGTGGTACATTTACACAATGGGGAGGTGAGAGGGACGACGACAAGGACATCATCAAATTTGCCGGCAAATGAATGGAACTAGAAAACCCATCCTGAGTGAGTTAACCCAGACTCAGAAAGACAAACACAGTATGCACTCACTCATAAGTAGATATTAGCCATAAAGTAAAGATAACCAGGCTGCAATCCACAACCCCACAGAAGCTAGGTAACAAAGAGGACCCTAAGAAGGACGCATGGATCTCCCTGGGAAGGGGAAATAGATGTGATCTCCTGTGTAAACTGGGCATGGGGTTGTAGGCAGGAGGGAGAGGGGATGGGAACATGAGGTATTGGGATGGCCAAGTTGCGGGAAGGATTGAGAGGGAGAGCAATAAAAGATATATCTTGATAGAGGAGGCCATTATGGGCTTAGGGAGAAACCTGGTCCCAGGGAAATTCCTAGGAATCCACAAGGATGACCCTAGCTAAGATTCCTAGCAGTAGCAGAGAGGGTGCCTGAACTGGCCATCTCCTGTAAGCAGATTGGTGGCTACCCTAATTGTCATCAGAGAGCTTTCATCCACAGAGATCACAGCCAAGCACTGGACCAAGCTCTGAGAATGCTGTTGAAGAGAGGGAGAGTGGATTGTAGGAGCCAAGAGGTCATTACAAAGGAACGCACAGAAACAACTAACCTTGTCTCATAGGAAGTCACGGACTCTGGTCGGACAGCTAGGGAGCCTTCATGGGACCAAGCAAGGGCCTCTAGATATGTGTGACAGTTGTGTGGCTTGGTCTTGTTTATTAGACTCCTAGCAGTGGGATCAGGGCTTCTCCCTAATGCTTAATCTGACTTTTGGGAACCTATTCCCTATGCTGGTTTGTCCTGCCCAGCCTAAATACAAAGGAAGGAATTTAGTTCTACCTCAACCTCAACTTGATATGCTATGCTTTGTTGATATCCATGGGAGGCCTGCCCCTTTCTGAACAGAAGCAGAGCAGGAGTGGATGAGGGGCAGAGGGGAGGCGGGGAGGGAACAGGAGGAGATGAGAGAGGGGAAACTGCAGTCAGGAAGTAAAATAAATGAAAAAATAATTGATAAAACAAAAAATAATGTGAACACTGCTATTCTGATCTCCCATGATTGTATTTACTGCCTCCCACAAATGCTTCCCATGAATGTAACTATTGGTTTTTACAACTCCAGATTATGTGTAGTTTTTTTAAAATGCCTGTTCATAGACTCTTTGGGTGGCAATTTAAGAGTGTGTGTATTGCTAAAGGGAAGATGAGGGCAATAGAGAAATCTCCCAAGATTATACAATATGATGTAGTTGAATGATTAAGTTTCTGCATACGAAATAAGTATAATGTCCCAATGCATTTTGAAATAAGTCTGAGATTTCATAAATGACATTTTAAAATATTTCTAGTTGATGTAGTCTAAATATTAGAAGCAGTCTCTTAGTGTTCAAACAACACAGTTTGGACTGTACGTTATACAAGCAGTCCTCTAAAGGGCTCCCTCATCTCCAAAAGTTGGAGGGGATATTCCTGAGTGAATATGTACAGACAGAGCCTGCAAAAAAAACCTCCTCATTCTGTTTCACAGAGTATTCTGTCAGTTGCCTGCTTCTTCTCCCAGACGGTCCAATTATTCTTCTCACATAGTTATCAGGAGAGCAAAGACATTCTACTTTCAAAACCGGGTGAGGTCGTGAAAGGTTGAAGGGGAGAGCTGTGTGAGAATAAGCCTATGCATCATGGTTACCACAGTAACGACCAAGCAAGGAAACCATGACAACCAGAACATTTAATGGAGACCAAGGTGATTTGGCAAGAAGAGCAGGGTCTCGCTTACATGGAAAAGCTTTGTTAACCAAACTTCTTCAGCTAATTATCTGCTTCCCTACCCAATACCTCTAATGAATATGCTTTTTCAGGTGGACTGAATTGAAACAGTGTTTTTGTTTTGTTCTGTTCTGTTCTTTTTTGAGAAATGCAGGGGCACAGAGAGAGGGCTACAAAGAGACATTCTAGAACGGCCTGTGAATCACGGTTGCCATAGAAACCTGATGTCATTTTAGCAACCAACACGATACTTTGATGGAGACCCATGTAATGTGGTGAGAAAAGCAGACGTTTGAGCTCAGCTGAAGGTGTAGGTGCCCCATTGTGGTAACTGAACCTCCCTGAATAGTTGAGAGACTCAAGGATTTCAGAAATAAGTCAGCTGCTTTCCATTTTGGGACTTAGTCATGTATTGTCTCCTGAGAGAAGTGGGATCCTTCTGGCCCCCAAATGATGTGCTGTTGTACTCCTGGTTGTCCTGGGCCCATTTTCCATTTCCTTGTGGGTGGTATACAGGAAGATGAGACAGGAAATAGTTCTGTTCTCAGCCCAGCTTTTCCCACTGTGTGTCAGGACACTCACTCACAGGATGCAGTAGTCAACACCTACTTGACCAGTAGTGGATGAGTCTCTTGTATATCTCAGATAGTTATTGAGCCACAGCATTTTTTGCATATTGAGATTTTAATATGTAGTATTTCATGATACCATCTTTTACATTATTTTCATTACATTTGTTTGTGTGTGAAGCAGGTCCCTGGGACTGACCTTAGTAGTTAGGCTTGACAGCAAGTATCTTTACTGAATGAGCTACCTGACTAGCCTCCCACTTTGAAAAAAATCATTTTATAATGACTGTCATGAAGCTAGGGGATTTATCAAGTGTTAGCTAAAGTTGTCAAAATTTCAGATATCAAAATTAAGTAGTTCCAAAAATAGTAAAAAAAAAAAAAGTCAGGCTCATGCCTTTAATCCCAGCACTTGGGAGGCAGAGGCAGCTGGATCTCTGTGAGTTCAGGGTCAACCTGGTCTTCAGAGCAAATTCCAGGATAGGCTCCAAAGTTACACAGAGAAATCCTGTCTCGAAAAACCAAATAAAGGAAAAATCATACATATTGGCCCGTTATAATATGAGCCAACTATGTCCTCTAAAATAAATACATACACCTCCATCCTATTATTGTTAATTTCCAGTAAATAAGGCTTCCTGTTCCATCGTACCTAGCCTCCCTGACCTTCCTAATGACCTGTACCTACATAAGTATAGCACTTCTGTTGCTATATAACGTTAACATTCCAGAAGTTTATTTAAGCAGATTCATGGAAATTCTTTTATAGTACTTACAATACTTTCATATATATCCATATATTGCATATAGCAATGATATGACCTTATTTATTAATTTGATTTAATTTGCAATGATAAAAATCAAACACAGACCTTCAACTTCTTAGGTACATGCTATGTCACTACCCTGTACCTCCAATCAGATCACTGTTTTTATTACAGTATAGTATTCCAGTACATGGTAATATCACAATTTGTTTTATCCACTGGCAGTGGATAAAATCTTTCAGATTTTCCCACTGTTTGCACCACTACCAAAACCTACAGAATCTACTTTCTAAACCATTAGTCGTATCACTTGAATTTTTTTTATTTCATTGATAAATTGCATGTATTCTTCCTATGTAATGCAACCTTGTATGCTGAAAAAAATCACCACCACCACCACCACCACCACCACCACCAGCAATGTGTTAAAATTCAGATAGCATTAAGCAATGTCTTAGTGTATTGAACATGAAATGCCTTCCATTTCTCCAGGTTCAAACCTGTCTTTCATTTTCATTATATTCATCTAAGCCTGCTATATGCATCTAGAACCATCGTGGTCAAAGTAACTGAAGTTACTTGTCAACTGTGTCCTGACTGCCATCCGAACCCCTTGCTTGTTTAAGAGATAAAACATGTTTAGAATGTGGTCTGCTTTTGCATTACAGAATTGGCATGTGTACATTTTCCTTTCTCCTATTAATTTTAGATGCCCAGGAAAAGGCCTGCAGGGGCGTTTTGATTACTGTGTTTTGATGGATCCTAGAATGCTGTTCTGAATGAGGACTTGACTTGCTTTTTACCCTGAATCCTGCTATATAAGCATCGCTCCCATCTGGAAACTATGGAGCTGGCCACAGGGTGCTTCCCACACAATCCCTCCTCATTTTTCTTATGTAAATTCATTGCTGGGTTAACTATGTGAGTAAACAGGGAAGCCTGCTGTGTATTCATTGGACTTTACTTAGGAGTATAGGGAGAAGCATGCCAGAAAATTCCTTTCATCTGTGGCCTTATTGAAATCCAGAAAGTGGATACATGCTCTGATTGCTAAATGCATGGTCCATCCTAGAGATTTTTCTGCCTTCTGTTATGTAACTGATTTCCCTAAGGCACTCACCCAGACCTGACCTGTGCAGGCATTAGGAAGCAGCTTCAGAACCACCCCATCTTTTCACCAAGTTCCCATGGCTTTCAAGGTAATCTTTCTTCTGTCACTGGGTCATTTTCTAATGGGAATGGCAGTGAGGTTTTGCTTTGTTGTGTTTTCTTACTCTTTTCATTGCCCTATTCAGGATAGGTTCATAGCAGATGAAATGGCAAACTGTATGAAATTAATAGTTACTAAATATACCTTAAATTAGATTACTTTCAAATATACACTGTTTACATTTGAGCTCCCCTCTCTGTTTTTCCTTCTTCTTCCTTCTCCTTCCCTCCTCTATTTCCCCCAAAGTATTAACTCATCTTTTTTCTCTCTACCCTTGAACACATCCAGACTTTTCTTTGTAGTGCTAGAGATGAAACCTAGGACCTTGCTCAGGCTGTCAATTTGCTGTACCATGGATCTACATCCCTAGCCCTTGGCTCATCAACAAGATGAGGGTTTTGCCTGTGGCCCAAGCTGGCCTCAAAGTTATTATCCTCCTGATTTCACCTCCTTCACAGCTGGGACTCGAGGAATGAGCCACTCTGCACGCCTAACTCAAAAGTTGGCCACAATTCGTATGCTATCAAGTGATTTTTCAACTCATTGGGTGATTTCTACTCACAACACCTTTATAAGGGAGATACTGCCATTAACCCCCACGTTGTAGATGAATAACTGTGGAGTAGAATGATTTTTCTGATTTGTGGAATGGGAAACCAAGGATTAGTGTGAACCAGAGCCTGGGAGAATGTCACCAAATTGTTATTAAATGAAGCAAGCAGAGTGCTCAACTGCTCACACGTTAAGAGGAGATCAACAGCAATAGTATGCTATGATGGCGAAAAGCTATCTTCCTTTCTGTCTTTCCTCTCCTTGTGTTAGTTCCAATCTGTAGATGCTGCACAAGCCATAGTTGTTTCAGTTCGGGGATGCTCTGTTCCAGAGCTCTCAGCCTCAGACAACTCCCTACTGCCCTCCCATTCTTACCTAGTATTCATCATACTCATGTCCACGGTAATATTATTTTACAGATATATTTTAGATGTTCCCCCTTTTTTTCTTTTTTAGACACTATTAATTCGTCTGTTTTTCTCTTTATAAACCTTGCAGCTTGGTTATGGTTGAAATACGTTGGTGTCATCTCGTGGCAGAATTCTGAACTGCAGCTTGAACACCCCAGGCAGTAAAGAGGTAGGAGGGGTGGTTCAAATCCACCTTAAAGAGCTTAAATGGAAATGGGTAAGAGACCATCTGTAGGATATCAGGGTACACTAATTATTATATAATTTTCAGCCTGTTTCTATGCCTTAAAATGTTTATATGAGAACAATCATTTCAACAGTTTTAAAAAACATCTTAGGCTTCTGAATAAATGGTTGGAGACTTACATTAGCAAATATGGAACCTTCACCTTTGTAACCTGGTTTACATGTAGCAAATATATACAATTTATACGAAATTTTAATTTTTGAATGCTCTAGGTGTTTTACTGTATGAATAGCATGACACTGGTGAATATTTAATTCCCTTACCATAGTTTACATAATGAAGAGTAGTTTATGTAAAATCCTATTTATATATAAGCAGATATATTTGTATTTTATTCTCTAAATTTCTTAAATACAGAAATACTACAGCATTTTACATTAACATAACATTGAAAATAGTTAGCTAATTTATATTTTTACATTACTTTACAAAAGCATTTGATTTTATTCACACTGGAAATAATAGAAATTGTTACTAAATTGATAGGCAAAAAGCTATCCTTCACTGTTATTTATTATCATTAATAAAGCACATTATTGCAGATATATGAAGAAATAGGTACCCTTCCCTCATAGTTGACAGGGCAAATACTACTAATGTGACTATAACTGGATGGGGAATGTTAAAAAATGTTCAAAAGCACTCTAAGCCACAGTAGTCCCCTGGAGGAATTTATGCTATATCCTGAGGGGAGCCATTTACTCGTCAGTTATATGTCTTCATTGCTTAAAGTTGAGTTGGTGCTATCCATAGCAGACCGTGGGCCTTTAAGATCCTAAACCCAGCTTCATTAGTCTTTTCATTCATAGAGCATCTGCCTCTTGGTTAGGCATCCAGGCTTGGTCAACCATGCAAGAGACTCCCCTGGTATTGAAATGGAGCACTGCCCGGGTCTGAATTCCTAGAGGCACATGTAAAAATCGTCCCTCATTTCTGTCTAGATATTTCTGTTCTCTGTCCTTGGAGGCAAGTCCTGTTTACTAAGTACACATAGCCTAACATCCTCCACAAATTTAAATTTTCATAAATTGTAGAAGAAACACTGGCTCCAGAGAATTTCTGCCTCCAGACCTGACATAAATCCCATGTGGTTAAGCCAGTGAGAGCCCTTTATAAACTGCTTTCCCAACTGATGGAAGGTCTTTCTTAAGTTGTCTTGTGATTGTACAATCAGAACTGGGTAATATTTATTCATCTTGACAAATGTTTCTCAAAGAACTTGTCTTGAAACTCTACTTCTTGGCCCAGGCTAAAAATGGTTATTTTTCTATGGACACATATAGACAGTAGACACCAGACAGACATATACTGAAGACCAAGATCTTGTGGCCACCCCACTGGTGACAGCTAATTAGATAAGTGTGTCCAGTTCTGGGGACTATTTACAGGAATCCCACTCAATAGAAAATTCCATTTACACCCTTCAGTCATCTTTACAAAGAATAAAGTCAACATAATATTTTTATTATTTAGTCAGTTTCAATTAGTATACAATTTCTATTAGAAACAAGAAGGCATCTCAGGATGCCTTTAAAGGCACAAACATAGGTGAAGTAAAAACAGAGAAGACGGAAGTTATAAAAGCATGTGTGTGCATGAATGAGTGAGCGCACACGCACACATGAGGAATGAACCCATTCTAAAACCCTTTTCTGTGGAGTAATGCAAAATAAAGTATCCCTAAAAGGCAGCTTGTCACCAAGTTTTGAGGGGAAAGAGTCTGAACTCTGTCACTTCTGTTTCTCCTTCAGAAATGAGTAAGCAAACCTAGCATTACTGGGGTTGTATGTTGTATGCTATCTCTATCTATACATTTCTGAGGATAAATCAACGTATGTTTGAATCAAGTAGTAGTCTGCCTTCTACCAGGCCATATTATTCTAGGCCTTCATCCATGAAACAACTGTGAGATTTCTCAAAATGGGATTTTTTTATCCTTTGGTCTATTCGTTCATCTCTTAGTTTTCTTCCACATATGGTTAACTGCATAGTAGTGTATGTATATTCTTACATGTTTCCCCTCAAAGGGCTAGTTCATATCAAAGACTCCTGGGAGACATCCTTGGTTATCTGTAAATAATACTCTCCTAAAGTCACCTTTATAGAAAGCAACATTGCTAACAACACAGATGTGCTTTGTTCCCATGGGATAAGCAAAAGTCTGCCAATCACCTGCATCCCTGACAGCTTTGTCTACTAAGTATGCTAGGGGTTGGATTTGCTTTGCTTTCGGTAAAATACAAGGGCAAGTGGCAAATGGTTGTGTGGAGGTATTTTGGGTTTGGAGAATAATCTGTGCACCCTGGTTCTCATAGAAACTGATTTCATAACAGCTTTCATGGTGACTTTTGGAATGACACTGTAAGTTAATGGGAAGAACAAAGTCCTGTATGCAAGTGCTTGGGTTCATTTGAGGGTGAGGGTGTTCAGTGGTGGAAGCTGAACCTCCTTAGGGAGTAAAGACATTCCTGCTTCAGGCAAAGATATCTCCTGAAGGCTCTCTAACTGGTAGCTATTGGGCTCTTCCTTGCTGCTGTAACTGAGCTAAAAGACAATTAATTGATCAACCCGCCAACTTGCCTATCCTTATGCCAGCAACTAGCAGTTTGGGACTCAATAAAGGATGTCTTGATGAGACTATATGATTCAGCCTTTCCACTCTGGCTCCTGAGGCACAGCCTCCAGCAGAACACTTACAGGTTATTTTTCTCTGAATGTTTTCCTACTGTCAGCCTTGGTGAGCACTAAAAGATCCTAAACCAATTCCATTCAGGCCAGAAGGGCAGAAATTCTTAGTGGCCTACCAGAAATAAGGAAGCTGTAACTTGTGTTAAAGGGACAACACTATGGTTAGTACAAATATAAGCCTCTCTCACTTGGGTGACACAAATGCTAATTGCATACATATAACATTGCTGTAGCCTATAAACATAGACAATTTGTCCATACACAGATAAAAATACAGATAAGATTGATAAAATGTTATCTGTATCATGTGTAAACAGAATCCATTTGTGAGTGTGCCTAGACTTCCTTACCAATTTCCAAATTTAGTAAGGAGTCCTGGGGATTAGGATTCCTTCAGAGTATCATGCCAGGGAAGGAAATGGACCATCCCAACAGTACCTGACACTGGAAAGACCTGCTTCCCAGCTGTGGTAACATGAATCCATAGCCTACAGGGACATGTTTCCCAAAGTTTAATATTTTTTGTAAACTGGAACACTGCTACAAGCAAGGTGCAGAAGACTCTTCCCACTTTTGGTTCAAACTGTGAATTCAGTTTTACATGCATGTATAAATTCTTGTTTTGGGAGGGGAAGGGGGAAAGTTTTCGGATTCAGTCCAAAAGAAGCAACACTTGGTAATTTGCAACAGAAACCAGGTTTACTTATGTCAGTTTTGAGAAAAAAAGGAACTGTGTGGATTCCCAGTTCTCTGCTTTAACAGTCCCTCCAGATGAGCGAGATGTCCACAGAAATCTGAAAACTACTGACTTGCATTACCTGCTACGCTATTGTTTCTGGATTAACAAAGCAATAGTTTGGATAATTCCAAAGCATTAAGTTCACTTACTGGGGCTGGAGAGATTGCCCAGCGGTTCAGGACACTTCCAGAATACCCAGATTTAATTACCAGTACCCACAGGGCAGTTCAAAACTCTGCAAGTCCATCCCCAGAAGATCCGAAGCCCACTTTTGGTCACTGTGGGCACTGCATGGATGTATTGTACAAATATAAACATGCAGGCAAAACACCCATATGCTTTAACGTTTTTAATGAAGAAAAAGTTGGGATTTTTTTTACATGTGTGCTTACGTTATCTGATAGGTGCCAGATTTCCTGCTGTGTACTGTGTAGAGAAGCCTATCAAATACTCAAGCAAGCAAAACCCATGCATTTGGCACACTGCTGTTCAAAACAGGAGTTTCACAAAGAGTAAGTCTGATTCTCCCGAGTAGGCTCTGCCTTTCTATAGAATTCACTGGTTTGGATTTCACATGCCACTCATCTCCCCAGATAGCTGCTGCACCTGGAGCTAAAACACAGCGGGGTGCGGACGGCCGGGGTGGGGGGTGGGAAGTGGGGGTGGGGGGAGGTGGTGCCTGGAGGACAAAAGTTTTGCCATTGCTTCCTCCTAAAAAGATGTTAAAGCCTCACATCAGGGAAGGCTGATAGCTGACTCTTTTCTTGGGATAGTAGCACTAAGCCCTTGTGCTGTCAAAATCTATTTGCAGGATTGATAGCAAGAGCCAGGACATAAAGGGTGAAATTTATAAATTCTAATTAATTTCCTACTCCCGAACTTCTAATGCAATCCCCAGAAATGTCAGTTATCTTTAATGTCCACCGGTCATCCCACCAGGAGCCGAATTTGAAACTAGGGACCAACACAACACACTAATGCATACTCGTATGGGCATGCGCATTTGGTGTGTGTGTGTGTGTGTGTGTGTGTGTGTGTGTGTGTGTGGGTGTGTGTGTGTGTGTGTGTGTGTGTGTGTGTGTGTGTGCGCGCGCGCGCGCGCGCGCGCTTTTTGCTGGCATCTTTTCCTCTCTTAGATCCTGTCCTTCGCCCGCCACAATCCAGTCCTCAACACACCGGAACCAACGACAAGCCCCTGCCCCTGGACGTCATCAGCAATCGCCTGCAGTTCGGTCCTATTCTTACTCCCTCCCCCTCGTGGTCCCCACTAATTTCGGTTCTGCTGTTTCCGCGCCACTGGTAGCTCCCCCGCCGCGCCCCCCCCCTTTTTTTTACCCTGGTTTTGAACCGGGAAAAGGCACTGTGGTTGCCTCTAACTGTCTCCCCTTCGGTCGACTGGTGCTGCCCTGTGGCCTCTGGCCTCCCGGAGCCGCGGCGGTGGCAGTAGCCATACCAGCTCAGTCCCAGACTCCTCTGCGAAGGTCGCAGCCACCGAGAATCTCGCTGCATCTTTCCGGGGCCACACCGGACACAGTAGCATACCGCACGCATCCCTTGCCGGCTCCAACCGCCAACCAGGGTTTGGCCCCGGGAGGTGTTGGTTTTTGGCGGGCCATTTTATTCTTGAAGCCCCGCGTCTATTATGCTAAAATACATAAAATGCCTGACCTGTCTCTCTCATTTGTTAGAGGGTGGCTCACAAGGTTATCAATTATGCTGAAGTGGGAACTCACTTTCTTGTGTGACTCGTTTGTCGTGACCCATTTAAGCTGCTGGACCAGTTCCGGGCCTCGGTGTGCAATTTCTGCTGTGTTTGCCTTGAATTTGCAACTCTTTCTGTTCTTTATTCTGTGTTTTGTGCCTAACTCTCACTACATACCTGGAGAGCAGGACATTTGTGGAAACATAATTTCTAGGTTGGAATCGCCACTCACCCTTGTTCTGACTATGTATTTTGTAAATAAATAAGATTCAATTCCCTGCCTTTCTCTTCCAAAGAATGGGCGTATCAACAGTACCTACTGCTAGTATGCTAATGAGAAGAGAAACATTTTGTAGCACAAAGGAGTGTGTTTTGGGTAAGAATTACATTTTTTGAAATTGACAGTATTGTCTTCTCACCTAACATTCTATAGTCAATAAATAATGAGTTACAATAATGACTAACAGAGGAGCTTTGGTCCAGACAATAAGGCCACACTTTTATCGCGTTATTTCACTTAACATTTTCCCTCAGCTGCCCCATTGAAAGTGTACTCTCTGATGCTCACTAACCTTGCAGATCTGCCAGTCTGGTTCCTCTGTTGTGTTTTAAGAACACGAAAGGAAAACAGATTTCTGTTGTAATAGTAGTGGATCTGAGTCCAGGGGCACCTGCTCAAATACCGGTTCTTGTTCCAAGGGTGATGAATTCAACCAGGGACAGAAAGTTAGAAGTAGAAATGGAGATTATTTATTAAGAAGTAAAAACACAAGAATAAGGATGAGCTAGTGAGCTGCTGGTAAAGTCCCAAAAGCGCTGGACCACGAGGCCATGTGACCCTTTGTGGCATATTTACATTGCCCCCTCCTCTCCTATCTGTATAGAATGCTGACCTTTTGACATGTGCTGTTTGTTAAATGAAGCTCAGAAGAAGGGCTTCCGGTCTTCTGTCAAAAAGGCTTTCTCGGTGTGCTAATCTTCAGGTAGCTCTCTCCAAATATCCATTCTCTTGCCACGGTATGATTAACATCAAGACATATCGAAAGGATACAAAATATCTTATTAAATGCAATGAGGCTCCTACTATTTGTCTCTGTCACAAAGTTTCATGAATGGCAAGCAGAATTGGTTCTATCATTTTTATGGTACTGGAAATTGAACCTAGAGTCTTGCCCTTGCTACCACTGAGCTATGATTCCCCCAACCTCTTCTCATGTATACTTTGAGGCAGAATTTTATTAATTTCCTAGGCTGACCTCAAACTTGGAGTCATATTGCCTCAGTCTCCCATATTATTAGGATTACAGGTGTGTGTTGTTATGTCTGGTGTTGCCATAATTTATCCTCTTTTATGATTTTAGTTTAGTTTAGTTTAGTTTTGCTGCTAGATGCTATTGATCCTGCTACCCATGGCTCCTGAGCTCTGGGAATATAGAGCTGTGCTACCACACCCAGGGATGCCCAGTTCTTAAAAGGACACTATCCATTGGATTCAGTGGGGCTCCTAGAGATATCTGAATGTTGCTCCTTGCATTGTTTTCTGTGAACTAATATGTGTTCTGAAATGACATCTAAAAGTGCTCTAAATGTCCCAGGCCAGTGTTTCACCCAGTGAGTTGATGATCTGGGTCCTTGTTTACCAATGTATGGTTCTTGCTTTTGAAGTAAGCTGCCGTTATGACTTGGCGGGTGAAACCCACAGAAACAGCTGACCTGAACAAGGGAGAGCTTATAGACCCCAGACTGATAGCTGAGAGGCCAGCATGGGACTGATCCAGACCCCCTGAACATGGGTGTCAGTGAGGAGGCCTCAGCATCCTTTGGGGCCTCAGGCAATGAATCAGCATTTAGCCCTGTCATCCAGATGGACTTTGCGAGCCCATTCACATGGAGGGATGCTGTCTCTGCCTGGACACATGGAGGAGGGCCTAGGCCCTGCCTCAGATCATATGACAGACTTTCGAGATCCCCCATGGAGAGTGGAGTCTGGATTGGAGGAAGGGATGGGGGAGGGTTGAAAGAGGGGAGGGAGAGGGAGCAAGGATTGTCATGTCAAACAAACTTGTTTCTAATTTAAATTAAGTTTTAAAATATATTTTAAAAAAACAAAGTAAGCTGCCACTCACTTAGATACTCTTCCTGGGCTCTTCTCAGCTGTAGGAGACTGTACTGTCTTCTGTCAATGGATTCTTAATAATAGACCACCTATGGTTTTGAAAAAACTCAATCCTTTCCCAGGACCACCCTCAACCTTCCCATGTGAGGATAGTTATCATGTCATCCCTACTCACAATTTATATAACTGACTCATCTGACTTAGGATCACAGTGTTCATTTATTTCTTATTTAAATACCTGCTTCCCCTCAGGGCTTTCCTATGAGGGCATGACTGTGGAGGAAGGAAACGGGTGGTGGTCTTGGCATCTTTATGGAATACTTTCTAGAAGATCTCATCTCTGCAGTATGATCATACAATCTAACACCATAATGGAGAGAACAGAGCAGGAGAAGCAAATAGTCAATGAATAAAAATGCATGATATCAATACCAAATGAAATATGTTTATTCTTTCATATGCAAAGAAAAATTTAAAGCATATTTGCTCATGTCTGGCTCTGAATGTGTATGCTTTCTGAGAATTAGGTATAAGGAGGAATGCTAGGAGACTTACAGGAAAACTCTGAGATGAGAGGTGCTTTGATTTAAGAAATAAGTGAACACTGCAATTCAAAACCATATGACGCAATTAAAACAATGGTGACCAGCATAAAAATGACATGTTTTCCCTCATCAGAGTTATCTGGAATCCCTATCAGGATGACACAGTCATGTCTGTGTGCTTGGGATACTGGTTCCTGATATTGTGAACACGGGCAGCAATACAGCTCTCCTCACACAGGCAGGTTGAGGGTGGTAATGAGAGAGGATTGACTCATTTGAATGCTACATTTGGCCTATTTTTAAGACTCCTACAGCTTAGAGGAGGCTAGGAGAGACAGCAAGGAGGGTAGCAGATAGTTTTTAAAGCAAGAGTCACACCATGGTAAATGAACACTTGGACCATCAACTCACTGGCTGAGATACTAGTCTGGGAACACTTTTGGGTATTTTTAAAAGCTAGAATTAGAACCCAGGCCTGTGGAATCCCACCTCTGTGCCTTCCTCGTGAATTACTGCAAGCTGCACTTGTTGGAAAGGCAGGCTTGCTTCTCACCATCTTGGAAAATGTCTCTTGTTCAGTGAGGAAAGTGCAATTAATTTCATTCTTTTACAGAGTGATCCTGAAGATGGAACACCATTCTCTGTGTGTGGATCACAAACCCTTTACAAACGCAACCCCTTTTCTATGAATGAGACCTTGTGTTGCTCACAAATGGAGGAATCTGTGAGTTGTCAAGTTTTCCGAGGTAGTGCTGAGCACATAAGATGAGGTGCACAGGACGGAGGACATTAGTAGAGAGAGGAGATGGGATGCTTGTGGGGGTGGTTTGGAGAGAAGATTTCACCTACTTTGCCAATAGCAATGACATTACCTGGACCCACTTTTCCTTACGGTGACAATTTTTGGTTCTCAACTTCAAAGCATGATTCAGGGGAAATGGTCTGTGCAGCTGTGTCCTGCAGCAGTAATGGGGGTGGGGTACAGGAGCAGGGAAATGTGGTCATCCTTTGCAGGAGTGGGGGCCTCTCAGCATCATTGTGGAATGTTGTCTATGAGACATCATGTCTGCAGTAGAATCATATCATCTTACACTATGAAGGAGGGAACAGAGCAGGGAAAGCAGATGGTCAATGAACAAAATATATGACATCCATACCAAATGAATCTTATGTTTCCTTTTTTAATGTTCAAAGAAAATTTTAAACCAAGATCAGCTCTATTGTTCATACTATTTTATGAGTTATTCTAAGAAATATTACATACTTCATCATTTAACAAATTAAAAGTTTG